GGGCCAAAATAAACGTTTCTTCCTCTAAGGCGCAGGGGTCAGGTATGCTTGTCTTGGTGACTAGAAAGTACCTGAGACACCCCTAGAACTGGGAGCCTGCAAAGGTGACCTCGCTGCAGGCAGTGCCTGCAGGTGCAGCTGGTTAAGGTGGAGAGGAGGTTGGCCCGGATGAGAGCGGGCCTGCAGTCTGGTGGCCAGTGTCCCGCGCGGTGGAGCACTACTCTGCCATAAAGGACAGGCGTGGGCACCTGTGGGAAAATGGGCGCGCAGGAGACCGAGATGTACCGAGAAATACATCAGCGCGCAAGCTTGAACACTCTGTGGCTGCCTTTACGTGAGAAACCCAGAGTGTAAATAGATGAAGAACAAAATAGAAGGTGGATGTCAGGAGACGAGGTAGACCTTGTGGGAGTGTGAAGGAGTCAGGAGACAACGGGAGACGGGAGGGGGAGGGGTGCAGAAAGAACAGGGCTGGGTCAGGTGCGCCCGCTGCCCACAGGTGGTTGTTGTGTACCCTGAACGTGACTGATGAAGAGCTGAAGAGAAGACTAACAATAGCCGGGCAAGGTGACGCACACCTGTGATCCCGGACTGGGAAGGCTGAGGCGGGAGGATCGTTGTGCATCCGAGACCAGCCTGGGCTACAAAGTGGGCTCAAGGCCAGCCTGAGCTGCATAGTGAGACCCTGTCTCAAAAGGACAAAAATAAGTAAATCAATAAAATAATAATAATAAAAGCACAGGAATCCAGCCCAGGGGTGCCAGGGCCACCAACATCAGAAGAGGACGGAGCCTTCCCTGGAGCCTGGCCTGCCACCCCTGGCTCAGCCTGGTGCCCCAGGACTGCCAGTATTCATGCCTGAGTTTGGCGGTGACCCATGGGCAGGGGCACAGCACATGTCACAGTCTCCAGCTCTCACCGGCCGCACATCCGCCCATGGGCACAGACTGAGACAGGAGGAACATGCTGTCATGTTCCCACGTGAGCTCATGGGTGTAGGAGAAAGTGGCTGCCTGTGTCCCCAGGCCCTGCTGGAAGACTTTTGCTGCAAACTGCCCGAGACTGAAGGACAGAGTCTCCACATGTGTGGGGTCACTGGGACCTGGAGGCTGCCTCCTCCATCTCAGCAGCTGTTCCACATCAGGCAGGGCCAGGCTGGGCTCAGGGCCCAGGGCAGCTGCTGGGTGGGCCGAGGGGCCATCTGGAAGTCTCTGGCCTCAGGGAACACTTACATAAGGGGCTTGCAGAGGGGAGTTTTGGAGGCAGATCAGCTAGGGGCCTGGGACAGCCTGCAGCTCGTGCTGGGCATCTGATCAGATGCTTAGAGCACTCTGGGTGGTAGGGCACACATGGAGTGAGTATGTGATGTGCCCAGGTGGGTATGAACTGCACTGCCCTTTGGGGACAGGGACAGGAACAGGGTGGTGGCCCGCAATGCAGCCTCAGCAGCAGCGCCTGGGAACTTGCCGAAAGTGCTAGTCTAGGACTGCACCGGCCGCCTGCATCCAAACGGCCAGTCTGTGTGCTCCGAGCCTGCAGCCATCTGGGACCCTGGCAGCGCCAGGCCCACCCCACCCAGCCTTGCCCATCTCAGGCAGACTGAGCAGAGTGCCTGAGATGCCCTGAGGTCTCAGTGACCCACAGGACAGCTGGCAGGCCCTACTGGCCAGGCTGCTGTCACCGTGCCTGCTTGCCAGCCGTGCTGTGCCCACTGTGCCCACACTAAGCGGGTACTCTCACTGCACTGTTAGCATGCACCTCTGTGCAGTGACAAGTGGCCATGGTGACAAATTTGGTTTCAGTTTTCCTCTGGGAAGAAGCATCTTGGGGTGTGGCCAGCTACTCAGGGATGGGAAGATCAGCACAAAGGACCCCAGGTGCCAGGCAGGAGAGAGAAGGCCACACTGTGGTATCTACACAGCGCAGGTGAAAGGCCACCTGGTTACCACAGCAACCGGAGTTGGCACAAGTCCACTCTGTGGCCAGCAAGGACAGGAGGTATCGGGGTGGAGTGGGGTTGGTCCTGATTGTTACCGCCCTATAGGAGCGAAGGCACATGGGGGCAACTGTCCCAGGAGGGCAGCTGGGCCAGAGCCCTGCAGGAAAGGGGAGCCAGGCACCTGCCTCGTGAGGTGTGGCAAGGGGCTGGAGCAGAGTTGAGGCTCCACATCTCACAGCGAGGGCCCCGCCCTTGGGCTCCAGTCCTGGCTGATGCCCCCACCCAGTCAGCCACCTGGGGTGGCTTGCCTCTGCCTTTCTCCTTGGCGTGCTGCCAGCTTTTCAGAGCAGAAGTGGGCCAGAGCACAGCCCTCTCTCAGAGCGCCTGTGGCTCCCCAGCCCCCCAGGTCCTTCCCACACCTGAACGCCTGTCCCTCCCCCTCGCCGTCTCTCTCACTGCTGGGCACAGTCCTGACTGTCTCAGCATGGTGGGCCTTCTGCGTGCCATCCTCTCCTCCCTCTGCTCCTGGGCAAGTCCACCTGCCTGGACCAACAACCCCACCCACCCACGCTTCCCACAGCTTTCCCGGTGTCCTCCCCACAGCCCTCACATCAACACCTGCCACATAATTTGTGCACCTTGTCCCCTTGCTTACGTTGACCTCCTCCATGCTAATGTGGGCTCCATATGTGGCAGGTGGAGGATGGAGGGTAGATGGGTGACAGGGGATGGATAGGCTGGCGCACAGAGAAATGAAAGATGGGTGGGTGGGCAGGAGGATGGTGGAGGACGGGGAGATGGGCAGAGTGGACGGGTGGGTAGGCAGAGGGTGAGCGGCTGGGGACACAGAAGGAGGGAGGAGGAAGTGGTGGGTGGATGAGGGGAGAAGGGGTAGGTGGGTGGGTGGGGAGCTGGCTGGACGGTGCGCAGGTAATGGGCAGGGGGCTGGCTGGATAGGGGCTGGCTCTGAACAGATGAATGTGCGGTGGACAGAGTGCAGAGACGGGTGGGGGGCTGGCTGGCTGGATGGGTGCAGGAGCACCCTGGTCTTCTGGGAGACATCTGGTTTGGGTACCATTTGCTCAGATGACACTGCTGGGTCTGCTGTACTGGCTGTGCTGTGAAGAGACCCCTCTGTACCCCCGATCTCTCTTTGGGGGCTCTGGTTCCTTGGTTGTTGCCACTCCCTGATACTGCTACTTGTTGGGGGCACCAGCCATGCTCTGCCCCCACAATTGATGCCCCAGCTTGCAGCCTGGGGATTCTGCAGCCCCCTCCCCCATGAGAAGCTGCCGGGACCCCCTCCTCGCACCAGGGCCTCGAAGGTCAGGGCACAAGGGCACACACGCACAGCCACACAACATCCTAGATGGCAGAAGGAAGCGATGTCAGACACAAAGTACCTGTCTTCCGGCCTCTGCTCCAGTCCCCGTGTCTGGACAGAGCAAGTACTGAGTGTACGCCCCACCAGGGACAGCTATCTGGGTACCAGGGGGCCTTGCCCACCAAAGGACCCAGCTCTGATTCTGGGTATACCAGATGTTCTGAGACCGGCTATACCTGGCAGCTCTCTCCGTGCCAGAAACCAGTACGTGCTGGGGAGGCCGGGCCGTCAGGAGCTCCTGTTCAAAGCTGGAGGATTCGCGCTCTGAAATGAGGAGCCCCGCAGCCCTGCACGGGCAGGGTGGGCATGGAGAGGCAGCCTGTTCTAGCGTACACACACAGGTTGTCCTCCCTGCAGAACCAGGCTAACAGATGAACACGAAGTTGGAGGGGTCGGAAATGTCACCACTCGGCGACTTTCTGAGATGCTGTGTCAGCAAGAAGCCACAGAGCCCGAAGCCAGCGGGAGAGGGCTGTCGGGGGCAGCGCAGCCCCAGCTTCCCTGCCCACCAGAGGGTGACACAGAAGCGGTAGGGGCTCCCTAATGGGGACGCCTAGGACTCCTCACCCCAGTGAGCAGAGCCAGCCCCACTGGGCTTCCTGAGCTGCTGCACAGGAGGGACACAGAGCCCCTTCTGCGATGTCCCTTCCCTGGCTGTCACCATGTGGAGCCTTCAGCCGCACTCCACCAGAGGCAGACTCTGCCCATGTGCCAAGAATGAGCTGAGAATGACAGTGTCCCCAGGGCCAAGCCACACGCACTGCTCAGATCCGAGGACATGGAGATTGTGTGTGGTCAGGCTTGAGATTATCCTAATGGATGCTGTGAGGACAGCGGGGGACCTGGGCTGCAAGCCACAGGGGCTCTGAGAGAAGGGCTATGCTCTGGCCTGTTTCTGCTGTGAAAAGCTGGCAGCACCCCAAGGAGAAGAGCAGAGGCGAGGCCCCCAGATGGCTGATTGGGGGGCAGGGCCTTTGCTGTGAAAGGAAGAACTGGGCCCCAGGAAGAAGAGCAGCCTGGCCATGGTAGCCGTGCCTCCAATCTCAGCTACCAGGGGCAGGGACAGGGACAGGAGCACCCCCAGCTCAAGGCCAATCTGGGCCACTTAGCAGGCCTGTCTCCAAAACAAGATCCTACAAGGGTAGAGCTGGGATGCAGCTCGGAGCCCACCCTGTGTTGAGTCCCCAGAGTTACCCAAACCAGGGCGCAGAGGAGAGGCTGTGGGAGAACAGAGCCAGCAGCCCAGCATGTGCCAGGAGCAGGGCCTCGGAGAACAGTGGCCGCGGCCCAGCACCATCTTGGACCTCAACCTCCGGACTGTGCCTGAGACCCCGGGGAATGCAAATGAGACTTTGCGGATTGTGAATGAGACTTTGGGCACCATGGCTGAGACTTTGGGGATGGAAGCCACCCAGTCAGGAATCTCGTGGTGGTGGCCACAGCAAAGACAGCGTGGACCCAGGTGGCACCCCACAGTGCTGTCTTGTCGAATGCTGAGACCAGGCCCTGCCCCAGGCCTCAGCCCTGTGATCGCTCCACTGTCATTGCATGTTGGGGGTCTCCAGAGGCAGGCTCCGTGTCACAGCACAGTTCCCAGGGGAGGCGCGCACCCCGACCCAGCCCGGCGTCTCACACACACTGTAGTCGTCCATAAGATCCCTTAGAGACATCTTGAGGAATCACACCAGCTTTATTGAGCCACAGCAACAGCCCCATGCCCTGTTCACGCAAAGCACACAAGAACACAATAAACTTCTGTACATAGGGAGCGGTAAAATACATCATTTTTCATAGAAAAAAAGCACACACATGAACTGCGGGCCAAGTGAGCCTGCAGGTAACTGGAGAACCCAAACCCCTTCCCAGCACAACAGCAAAACCCAGCACCAACCAGGCCTTTCCAGGGAGGGACAAGGACACGCAGAAGGAGAGGTGGCCCTGGCCACAGAGGCTTATCACTTGTTCTCTACTCCATTTTCCAGAGGAAAAATGGTTCCAGTTTCAAATGTTACAAGGCCCTGGCTTTGTCCCCTGCCTCCCAGACAGAAAGGCAGCTGAGGAGACAGGGAGGACCAGGGACTCTGCAGTGACAGTGCCAGGCACACTGCAACTCTGGTTTGCCTGGGGTGGGTGCCCTGGAGCCTGAGTGCGGGACCCTGTGGCCACGAGCCTCCCCGCCCCCCGTGAACAGGAGCCAAGTCCTCGCCCCCCGACATCAGAGTCCCCGAACTGCCATGAACCCACCAAGCCCACAGCAGCAGTAATGCTGCACTGAGCTCAGGCGAGCCACAGCGTGTTCTGTACAGACCCTGAGGAGGGGTGGTTTTGAAAAAGTGATTTACCATCACGGCCTGTGTGGTCAAGGACAACCTAACAGTGAAGAAGCCGCCTGACCCCACGTGCTTCTTGCTTTTGCTCTGTTCCCTGTGACGTACTCCGATGTCGAGTGAGATCCAGCCAGAAGCCGGCCCTAGGAAAGGGGCACAAGGGCCAGCTGGGCTGCGGAAGGAAATTTCACCTCCCGGGGGAGGCGACTGCCAGAGGGAGCTGCTTTTCACTGCGGTTCTGGCCCGGGCTCCTGAGCAGGGAGGGAAGCAGAGTGCACGGCGCTGGTAGGAGCCAGGCCACGAAAACAGGAAAAGAAATCCTGCCGGGGCTGCGCAGGCCTGGTTTCCTACAGAGAGGAGCTGCTCACCCCAGGAGGGACATGTCCAGGCATCCGCTCCCCACTCCGCTGAATACTGGGTCACCACCAGAGCTGGGACGGAAGACAGAGTGGGCTGAGCCCTGGCAAAGCCATGTCACCGGGAGGGGACAGAAGGCACCCAGACGCATTGGCCCTCAAGGAGACCAAAGGCCATGGGGGAAACAAAGGCCACAGGATGAAAGGCGTGACAGACAAGACGGCTTGGGAGTCGCTGCTGACCCCCAAATAAACCAGCACTGCTGATACACAGCCACACAGGGGCAGTCTGGGGGGACAGGGCGGACCCTCCCAGGTGGCCCGGGCTCCTCCAGCTGTTTGTCTGACCAGCAAACATGAAGCCCTTTTGCTTTGTTGGCAGGGATAGGCTGTGACTTTTTATTTTTAAATAACTACTTTCTCTCCATTCCTGAAACCCTCCCACGCCACTCTGGGGGCTCTGGTCCCAACACCTTGCAATGTCGTCCCCAGCACTACGTTCTCTTGGGGGTAGGAATCTGCCCCTCTACTCAAGAGAACACGTGGTGAGGGACGTCCCAGTGACTGTCCTTTTAGGGACAGGGCAGGTCCAAAGAGACAGAAGGGCCCGTGTGGAGACTCTGAGGCCTGGCAGGTCTGGTGCCAGTTGTCTAACAGACACTGAGACACAGCTGCTCCGCGGTGGGGGGTGGGCTGTCACCGTCACAGGCCACCAAGGGACACAACACTGGCACCATCCACAGAGGCTCCCTGACCCTCTATCTCCCCACCCCCAATCCCCAAGTGACAAAAAGGAAAAGTAAAACCCCAAGTCCCTGCTGAAGACACCCCTTGTTCCCGCTGCTGAGCGTTCACTGTCTGACTGCAAAGATCCGGAAGGCCTTTCCGTCCCGGGCCGCGCTTAGGCTGCAAGAGAAGGGAGAGGACAGCGTGTCATGGGGACAGGCGGGTCAGCAGGCCCAGCTCAGGGAGGGACGCAGCCCCGCTGCTGCCGGGAAGGCCGCTGAGTCAGGCAAAGCTGGCGAGCCCGCTGCTCTGCAGTCGGCCTCAGGCTGAATCTAGGTCAGGGCTGTTAAAGTTATTTTTTCTTAACTCGAGATTTGCCAGTCTAGTCTGGGAACTGGCCTCACCCTCCGAGACTCCAGCACAGTTTTCGCTGCCACCTGTCAACCCAGACAGCAGCTGCCTGGCCAGCGGAGTCCCAGGCGGGGTGACCAGAAGGCCCATGTCCCCTCCCCTGTGCCAGCTCACCTGGAGGCCTGGGCTTTGGGCCACCGCCGCAGGCTCCTTGGCACCTGCCTCCCGGGCCACCTTCCTCACTGCCCCTACCTCACAGAAGACCAAATGCTGCCCCAGGGCACACACATGCCTGGTTGGCACCACCCTCATGCAGGGGGCAGATGCTGAGCTGACCACAGACACACTGGGGTTTAGCAGCGTCACAGAGGCACGCTGTGCGGGGACGTGCTGCTGAGGGGGCCAGGCAGCGGGGTCCATGATCTCCATCCCCTCCTCCTGTTCCACCCGGTGGCTGCTGCCCTGTGACTGCCTGGCTAACCACTAAAGAGAATCGTGTTTCATGTGGATTTCTGTCGGGTTCCTCCCCCCGTACCAGGGGCGTCCACGCCAACTGCTCCATCCGGCCGAGGAGAGCCTGTGATGTGATGGGCACGTGTGACTCGTCCTCTGTTCCCTGTTTGAAGACCCCAGGCTTCTCCCCATTCTCTGCCAGGGCTGTGAGCGCCCAGGCATGGGCTGTAGCGCTGCCCGGGGTATGAGCCCGGGCTGCACGGTGGCCGGGAGTTAAACACTCACTCAGCTTTGGAAAGACAGCCCCACTGTTCAGCTCCTTCCAGTGACGCAGGGCATTCCAGACCCCTTAAAGCCACGACCATGGGGCACAGCGGTCACCTGCAAGGGGTGACATCTCCCTGGGCCTCACCACGCTGGGCCTCTTCCCACGTGCCCAGCAGCCCGCTGTGTCTTGTCCTCTCTGGCGCAGTGTCTGCTCAGGTCCCTTTACCAGGCACTCAGTTTGCAAGTGTCTTCCTAGTCCGCACTTTGTTTTTTATTTTCTTAGTGGTCTTTTAAGGAAGAAAACTTTTGAATTGTGGTTTTTTTTTTCATTTATAAATAGGAATTTGGCCTTATACCTAAGAAGCTATCACTTAATTTAGGGTCATAAGGATTTATACTTAAGAGTTTTGTATTTTTAACACTGGTGTGCATGCCTTCCTTTGAGTCCATTTAAATTAGTTTCTCTACACTGTACAAGGAAAAGATCTAACATTTTACTTCTGCAGGCAAGTATGCCACTAGGAGAGCTCCTGTTACATTAAAATGGGAAATATGGAGCTGTGCTTTTGAGTTTCTGAATAGATCACCTTTGCACATGGCTCTTAATTTTTTTTTTTTTTTGAACCAGGAATTGAACTCAGGACCTTGTGCTTGCTAGGCATGCACTTGAACACTGAGCTAAATCCCTGGCCGTGGCTCTTAAGTTTAAAGGTACAGAAGATTCCTCCATTCACCCCCCCCCCTCCAAATACTGCTGTCTCCTCCATCTCTCTCACTCTCAACAACCTTGGGGAAAATAAGGCTGGTGCCCAAGGGGTCTGTGCCCAGGTACCCCAGACAAGCTCAGGGCAGGTCTGCGCCCAAGCACCAGAGCGCCTGTGACCTGGACAGTGCAAGCCGCCTGGGAAGGTCTGAGCCATGCAGCGTTTGAGCAAGGGGGACCCCAGCTGTGACAGGAGAACAATTTCCTTGTGGGGCTTTGGGTACGGCAAGACCCCAGGTTGGACTCGAACCGGCCCCTGGCCCAGACACGCAGCCCCAGCCCTGGGAGACTGCAGTCGCGAGGCAGGGAGCAGCTGCTTGGATTCTTGCTTGTTTTTCTGCCTTTCTTTACAGCAGCCCTGTGCTCTTGGCTACCCTGGGACTGAACTCTGGAAATGCGGATCTGAGAGGAGTGGAACGAGAAGAGAGGAGGGGAGAGCCAGGACGCGGGGACACTCGGTCCGGGGGTGGGCAGTGGCCTCAGCGCACATGGGCTTGGGGCAAGAGGTTTCCCCACCCAAACAGAGGTCCCTGAGGGTCACTGCCTGTGACCCAGCCACACCGGGGCCCACGCTTGGTGTGTGCCCACCCCCACATCCTGGAGGCCAGAACTGTGCAGCTGGGCAGGGGCTGTCACACCCACAGGACCCCAAGCAGCCGTGACAAGGGAGCCACTGGGCAGCTGTCTGGATGGGGACACAGGCAAGGCCCCAGCCATCTTGCCCGGGCCTGCCCAGTGCTTCATCCACCCTAACACAGCAAATGGTGACACCACTGCCACGCATGTGGGTGTGCCACTTGGGCTGGGGCCAGGAAGCCTCTGCTCTGTCTGTTCCCAACTCGGCCACTCACTGAGCTCCAGGAAGCCAGCGGTGTGCTGTGTCAGTCTGGTGACGTGAGTGAGATGTCATAATTGAGCACAGTCCTCCCGCCCCTGAAGTCCAGCCTCCCGGCGCTCTCTGCGGATAAGCCCACCCCCCCTCACGTCTCCTGGGAACCTAAGCAGCTCTGACTCCCAGGGAATTTTTATGAAAAGCACTGGATAATTTTATAAAAGACCTTGAACAATTTTCATAAAGGATGCTATAAAATTTGATAAGGGGAATTAAAAATCCCTCAACCGCTTCTGCACACATCACTGCCCTCAGCAGTGTCTGCCATTCAAGCAGCATTTCCTGAGCACCTTCTGCTTGCCAGGCACCGGGCTCAGGGCTGGGGTAGGGGGAGAAAGGCGGTGCGCTCTGGGCTTGAGCCGTCCACGGCCCGGCGGGGGAGAACGGCCGCTGAATACACACAAGAAATGGTCTGCAAGGGCGGCGGCGATCCCACAGAGAGGGAGGCGGCGCAGACCCATGCCCGGGGTCGGGGGGCAGTTAGGGCAGCCCCAGCAGGACTTGGCTGGCTGGAGCTACAAGGCCAGGCCTTCCTGGCAGCCAGTGAGAAGACCTGGGGTAGGGATGCCTCGGGGCTTTCTGGGAACAGAGAGGAGGCGCCAGAGGGTGGGGGTGTTTGCCCACTGTGCTGGAAAGCTCCTGGGGAAAGGGGCCACACCAGTGACACTCTTCACACAGTGAAGACAGTGCCTTGGTGGCTGAGGGCACTCTGCTGAAAGGAAATGACCCAGGAAGCCGCCAGGAGGCGCGTGGGCTCGTGCAGCAGGTGCTTCTTGGGGTTATTACAAAAGAGCAAAGAAACAACCTCATGTGAACAACCCAATGTTAATGGCGATGGTGGATAAAGCATGGGCCATCCACACCGCAGCCACGTATGGGCAGCCACGTGACGGCGTGGCCTCGCAGATGCAGCTTGGAGAGATTTTCACAGCCCTGGGAACAGCACACGGATTGTGTGAGCCTCCTTCCCAACGGGGCTGTGGGAACCAGGAAAATCCCGCGGAAGCACATGGCACCTTTGTCAGGTTGTTGCTGGGTGTGGTTGTTGAGGGCTGAGGGTAAAGTGGGTCCGACTCTTTTTTGAAGATTCCCAGAGGGGGCAGAAGCGAGGGACAAGCCTTTCAGGGGCCAGGCAAGGGTCAGGGATGACCCTAGAGCTGCCCCCTCTGGCTCAGGCCAGTGTCACGGTGACCTCAGGACTGGAGAAAGAGGACAGACAGCATGTTCTGGGAAGAGCCCAGGAGCTGTCCCCAAGGAGCAGGGAACTGCACCAGAAGGCCCCTGGGATGCCTCCTGCACACGTACGTGCCTCTGTACATGCATGTTCACGTGTAGAGAGGGCAGCGGGGACGTGCTGAGGTTTTCTTTTGTGGAAAGATTCTGACCCTGAGCACACCTCCACCAGTGGAAACCAGGAGTCAGACGGTTTTCCCTGTAGGCTCCAGGCTGAGCAGCCCCTTTTCTGAGCCTCAGTTTCCACACCTGTAAACTGGGTTCCTGCAGGTGCCTGGTCCTCAGGGGTGCATGGAGCAAGAGGCCCTGTCCAGCAGGGCCTGGGACAGGCACTCAACAGGCATTTGGCCTCCCGGACCCTGAACACCCCGCTTCCCAAGATCCAGCCCAGACTGGACAACTCAGTGACTTCAGGAGACCCTGTCTCAAACTAAAAAATAAAAAGGGCTGGGTGTGCACCTCAGTGCAGACCCCAGACTCAGTCCCAGCTGAGAGCGTGACCATGGCAAGGTGTCCTGGCGCTTTCCTCCCAAGAAGCCGCGTGGGCTACGGTGGGCGTTGTGGGCCCCCGCCACTGGACACCTGTCCTCCTGTTCCCCACTGTGCCCCAGTCCCCAGAGCACACACAGCACAGAGGGGCTGTCACGAGTGCCCCTGGGTCACAGGAGAGTCCTCCACATGCACCTCTGTAGGCAGTGTTGTTGTTAAAGAGTGACAAGGACGCCCCCTGTCACCATTGCCACATTTCCGGGTGCCCAGTGACCCAAGTCAGATGCCCTCAGCCTCCCCGCTCCCCAGCAGGCAATGTGAGATGGGGCTGCAGTCCCAGGTGCTCCTGCCCCCCCCCCCGCCTTTCACAACTTCCGGGAACCCTCTCCGCAGGGGACATTGTGCAACCCAAGCCGCTATGACGGGGCAGAGCTGAGGCGTGGGCTTGGTGACCTGGGGGCTTATGTGTGGGACTGAAACTTGAAATGCTATTTTCGCTTCTCACAGTGTCCTGCATCTGTGCCGCCCTTGGGGTCATGTACAACCCCTCCAGAGTCCCAGCAGCCACTGAGGACAGTGTCGCCCCTCTGGCTCCAGAACGGGCTCTCACGTCCTGATTGGGAAGAGGTTGGCCAAGGCACCTCCAAAAAACAAGGACACAGGGCCTGGTTACACTGAACTGTCCCGACAGGTCCTCTGCAGTGCCTGTTGTCAGGTGACACTGCGGCCCCTGAGCCTTGTGCCATGACTGGGAGCCTGGGCTGCCACCTGTGCCATCACCTCTGTGTCCCCCTAGGTGGCCAGGCCCACCAGGGCAGAGATCAGGGCCAGCAGGACGGTGCCGCACGGGGAGTGGGTGCTGGGTGGACAGGTGCACAGAGGGACAGAGCACGTGGCATCCCCAGAGGTGGCGGGCACACAGCTCTGCCCCAGAGTGCTGCATCACAGGCTCAAGGAACCAGATATGGGGAGACAAGAGGTACCCCAAGGGACCGACGCCACCTGTAGCCCATGCTACATCCACCTGGCACAGCCCAGGCTGCCAGGCCAAAGACTTAGGGAGACAGGTTTCGATCACCCAAGACCCCCTGAGTGAAATTCAGGCGGTGACTGAACCCTTATTTCCTAGGGTCCTACACAGGCACCGTCTCCATAAATCTCCCTGGGGAAGGCAGGGACTGCAGGATCCCCATTTCACAGATGAGGAAACTGAGGCTCAGTGAAGGCTTGGGCTCCAGACTTCTACCCATGCTGGGAAGCCACTAAAGGCCTCTGTGTGTGGCTTCATCACACAACTCTGCTGCAACCCTGCTTGTTTAGTGGGGGACAATGCACAGTGCAGAGGCATGGTCACACACACACACACACACACACACACACACACACACACACCCCTGCGCCCCTGGCGGGCGGTAGGGATGCCTGTTTTTTGGCTCTGAGCACTGGGTGGATGCGAAACCCTAAAGGATGTGCTGTGCTCATACATGAGAAAGTTCTCACTCTGGGAACTGACAGGGTAAGAAGGAAGCAGACTCAGGTGCAGGCGTGGCCCTGCCTACCTTTCGGACTGCACGCCGTTCCTCAGCGAGCCTGTGTAGCTCCGCTTCTTGTCCACGGGCATCACGTCCACATAGCCACCGCTGTCGTTCTGGATGGCGCCTGCGTGCACAGCCGCCTTACAGATGCTGGACGTCTACGAGCAAGGAGGAGGCCCGGTCAGTGCTGGGTTGCAGGGCTGAGACGCCCCCAGCTGACTGCGACCTGGCTGCTGGGCAGACCACACTGGCCCCTCAGAACCAGCTGACAGTACCTGACAGCCTCTGGAGGGCGCGGCATTCATCCAAAAATAATTTTCTCAGGGCCGGCCAAATAGCTCAGTAGATTAAAGCACCTGCAAGCAGGCGCAGGGGCCAGGGGTTCGATCCCTAGGCCTGCAGTGCAGGTACCTCCCCTGGGGCGTGCTGAGAGGGCAATTGAGACTGGGCATGGTGGCGCACGCCTGTAATCCCAGCTCTTGGGAGGCTGTAAACAGGAGGATCACTACAAGTCTGATCTAGTAGTGAGACCCTGAACACCCTGTAGACCCCATCCTAGAATAAAAAAATACAAATAATGTTCTCAGCACCAAGGGTATGCGAGGCCCTGGGGACTCACACAGCGATGTTGCTGCAGCTGTGGTGAAAGGAGGAGCAGGCCCTGAGACAGGCGCAGTGCAGGGCACTGTTTCAGAGCCGCTGTCAGGGGAGGATGCGAGACAGACTAGAGCACGACGCATCCACGGGGATAACTGCATGGAGCACCCAGGCAAGGCCTGTGGTAGGCGCAATTGCGCTGTGTCCCAGGAGCAGAAAGCTGCCAAGGCGGCTGGGTGCAGGTGGGCCCAGGTCTGCAGGCACCTGGGTTTTCCCTCCAGCTGGCCTCCAGCTGGGCAGCAGGTACTGCGTACCTGGTCTGGTGAGGGGGCCTGGGGCCCACTCTCCCAGGGGCTCGGCCAGCACAGTGGAAAGAGAGCCCTGGGGGCAGCTGTCTGAGCACCTGTAGACTGCACCCCTCAAAACTGAGAGGCTGGCTCAGATAGTGGCTGTGCCCACTGCCCATGGGACCCCAGGGCTGTGTCCTGGCCAGGTCATGCTGATGAGGACCAGGGGACTGCGATGCCCAGCTGAGGCTTCTCCCTTGAATCCATAACACACTGTGGGCCTCTCCTGCCAGCCCCGCCACCCTCAGCGCTCTGGTGAGCTGAGGTCCGAGCCTCACTCCACCTGGGAGGCTCTGGGCTGTGAGTGCGTGCCAGGGTCGAGGGGCACCCTGAGCATGCCACATCCCTGGCCGTGCCCCTGCCTTCCCTCGCTAGCTCCCTTAATCTTCAGCTAAGATGGGATCTCCACTCCCATTCTTGGGTGGAAAAGCAGGAGTTCCTGGGACTCAGCAATGTTGCCAAAGTCACCAGGAAGTTGTGACTTTAGCAGACCCCACTGGACCAGAGGGGGTGGACCCGCTTCTGTGG